ATTGAGACACCCTGTATTGAAACTGCACAGCAGCGTGTAAATTTGCACTAATCACGAGACAGAAAACTATTTCAAAAGAGTACATTTAAATTCTTATTTGGTAATAAGTTTCAAGGACGTATTGAAAAGGGTAAAATCTTAAAATCTTGTAAAAAAAAATGGGAGAATTGTCGTTCTCTTCCTTTATTTTTTTACGAAGTTAAAGGGAGTGACCGGCTATGTAAGATAGTTGAACTGAGTATGCAGTGTTGTCAAAAACTTCTTTCGGATTCATTTGAGACATATTAAAATTTTTAAAGATCTGTAAATCCTGAGTTTGAGTGCAAATTCGACGTTCAAAACTCCTACTTTGGGGGTGGATACACTTTCAGAATTAGTTTTTTTAAATTATTAATTAACGACGACATAAAATGTAAAAATATTCTACAATAAACTACAGACGTCACGTTTAGGAACATTTTGAGAAAATAAAAATGAATTTTATCATCGAAAATAAGTAATCTTGTTCAATTATTAGTTTCTATTATCTCATTATTAACAAAGTTTTCGCAGATTTTCTAGAATTATTAAGACGACATTTGAAGAATTTGAAGAAATCTGCGAATAAATTCAAGAAAATTAGAAATTCAATATAATAATGAAAACGAAATAATGGAAATTAGCATTGACTTATTGACAAATTTCTTTTGAGAAATATGTTCCTAACCATCTAATTAGATTACTGTATAATTTTTACTTTATTTTTCGTTGTCGTTATTTAATAATTTAAAAAAAAATAATTCTGAAACGTATCCACCCCCAAAGTAGGAGTTTTGAACGTCGAATTTGCGCTCAAACTCAGGATTTACGGATCTTTAAAAAGTTTAATATGTTTCAAATGAATCCGAAAGAAGTTTTCAACAACACTGCATACTCAGTTCAACTACCTTACATAGCCGGTTACTCCCTTTAAGCAGAGGGGCTTCTAAGCTGTAATTAATTTATATCTTTAAATGTGTTATAAAATATTTTTAGACAAACCGTCAGAGCGCTCCGCGCCCATCTTCCATTTCAACTTTTTTTTGTTTTTCAATCTTTCAGCATTTTCTCTTCGATAAAACAATAATAAAATATTGGATTTTCAAAATTTTCCAAAAATAAAAAAATTTTGGAGAAAATTTTTTGTAATTCTAAGCATCCTGAAACCTTACCTTGTCCGGAAACCTGGGGTCATGCTAGGTCCCATAATAATTTGGGTCATGTTAGGTCCTATAATACTTTGGGTCATGATAGAGGTCCCATAATAGTTTGGGCCCAATCAGTTCCACCTTTTTAACGTTTATAGGTTACAAACAAAACAGACAAACAAGCAAAGTATATTGATAGGTTAGAAAAATGTCAGTTCTTTCAGAATGAACAATTAGAAGCACTTTATATTTTGTTTATTAAATACCATTCCTTGCTATATTTTAACGATTCGACCTTTTCAGAAACATTTAATAAAACATTTTATATTAATAGCTATTTGGATGTAAAAATAAATCTTATAAATAATAATTATAAAATAAAAGTTGAAAGTTAAAACTGAGACAAAACACCCATATAAAAACGTATCATTGGCATGGAATAATGTAATTATATCCATGGTTATACTTCCTATTTTTAAATAAAATTACAACAAAAATAGTAAAAAATCATAAATTGAAATGAATGGATATTCTTTTAAAGATAATTGACATTGTGAATCGAACACATAAAACGGTAATAGAAAAGGACGTTTTGAAAAATTAAAAAGGGAGTTTTTGTGAAAAATTAAATTTTAACCCAAATTGAATCAATCTTTTTACTTCTGATGTTTTAGAAATGAGAAGATTGCAACGTTAGTTACCTCAGAGCTGAATCCATTAGTTTAATCCGTTGCTTAAACATAATTCATTCGAAATCATTTACTAACTGCTCTTTTTTTGCTATAAAATCATTCCTCCAAATTGAATTGATGTCCCTTGAATATATATTTTTATTTTCATAAGATGCGTGTACTTTGGACGACAATAATATTTTTCAACGGACTCAATTTTTGAGAATAAACGAAATTTTTCGTTAAAAAGAGTTTCGTTCAGAAGCGTTAACGAAATCATTCGAACAAATTTGAAAAAACGATAGTTTTTCTTTCTCAACGTACTTATACTCTTCGTAAAAAATTGTTTTCTAACAAACAATTAAAAAAGGGTCGTTTTTTAACTCTGAATGAACGATTTTATTTAATTAACGATTTTACTTAACGAACGTTTTAATTAACGAACGGTTATACTGGACGATCGTTCAGTGAGAAAACGAACGAAATAGATGGAAAATTAACGATAATTTTGAAAACGAACGAATTAAAAATTAAAAAATTTAAAATTAAAATTAAAATTTAAAATTAAAGAAATTAAAAATTTAAAAAAAACGAACAGAATTAAATAAACGAACACGTCCATCGTTAGGTGTCTTCCTTCAAACTTTTGAGCAAATACGGGGTTTCACTGGATTCTCCGCTGTGAGCGCAACGAATGATTTTACAATTTTCGCATCACTCTAATATCTGATAAAAAAAAGCATATTGAAATACCATTCGATTCAAATTCAATTTGAGTTTAGCCCTTTTATATTTTTGCGAACACTCCCTTTAAAGAATAATATTTGAGTTTTAAAGGTGGTATAGTGTAAACTTTATACTAAGTATATAATAAATGTAAAACTGTGTTCATACATTTGGTGTTTTACAATTAAAGTTTTGGTACATTTTACCATTGGTGTTTTGGGGCCTTCACGTTATCAAATATTTTAGGTTTTGGGGATATAAATGCCTATAATTTTGTGGAAAGTTATTCTTTTACATCACTCTTAACTTTGCGAGAACATTCGAAATATTTCCGCGTCAAAAATATCCATCCGAGAACAACTTTAATTATGCAGATATTTGTATCAGAGCCTTAAAATTTAAGGGACTCGCTGAGGACCTATTTCAGGTGACCCTCCATTTGCATGCAGTGGCACGTCTGATTCAAACAGTACCCTTGAAAACCTTTGTCACTGCAAGGTTGACGTAGATTTTTAGCTGAAAATCTACACTCGCAACCAGGCATTAAATTTTAAGAAATAAAAATAGAATATTTCACGTAATCCTTGATCAGAAAATAATTTAAGGTTACCATGGACATTCCAATCTATAAAAGTAGGCTAACTGTAAATGACGTCTACGATCTTCTTAAAACTAAGTGAAAATGAATATTTCAATTGGATAGAACAAAGGAATTGAACTCATGCTTCTAACTCTTATTTTTTACCCCAATATATTTGAACATACAATATACATGCATACTGGACTACTACCGAAACGGACTACTCCAGATGACCTACACCATCAGGTTGCAAAGATATAAGTAAAATAGCTGGAAAAGCGACGATATCATCCACATTTTGATAATTGTGAATCCGGCATGCACCAATTAATAATTTAAACAAAATATACTATAATAGTTAAAATTGCCGATATACCAACTGTGTCGGATCTTAACAATCTGTATCTATGTTTATAAGTCATATTCTTTGAATAGATGTTAATTAGATTATTTTAGGTTCTCTCCTAATTATTATTCACTGCAGTTTTTATCTCAGCTCAAAGTTTTGCTAACTTTTGATGGTTTTTCTTTCACATAAAGATCTGTCTGTAATTAACTAGTGCTAGTCCCAGAAAACATAAAGATAACCGATTATAAGATTCGTAACATATTTCTTCGTCATTTTTAAATTATTTAAAAAAGATAAATTTTCAAAATCAAGTCTATAGGAATGCACGTAATCAGTTTGAGTCGCTTCTCAAATCCGCCAAAAACGGTTTCAATTGAGCACCGGTTTAAATATTGAAACATTGAATACTATTTTAAGTGGAACCAACCATATATGAGCAACGATTCAAATTTAAGCCGCGGCTTAAATTCATTAAATTCGGCCTCAGGAGGATTTTACAGATTTTGTCTAACCAACCGGTGACTCTCTTTATGATGAATTTATACAATTAACTTATTAACAGCAAGTTGTAATTTTATAAAAGTTTTATAAATATACATTTTGTTGGGAACTGCAAAATCTAAACTTCTAAAATTCTAGTAGATAGGAATTTTACATGTTTTCAATGACTGGTAATTTGACAGAATGTCGGGTGTGATAGGTTTACAGTTTAATAAAAAGAGAGCATATACTTAAAAGCAAAACAATATCGATAGTGTATTTTATTTTGTTTTTAAAACCTAAACCCAAGCATATCTCCTTCTTGATATAGTAATTTCATCTAGAGATTGATATGTGGATAGTAGAACATCTCTAGAACTCGGCTGCTGTTTCTAAGAGATGCAGTTTTTATATGGATTTAAATTTAAGAAAATTATGCTTTTAATTGTGGCCTCTTAAGTACAGTATAATTTTTCTTGCGTTTTTTTTAAATTTCACAAAAATTAAAAAATCAAAAGGTTTTTGATAAAACTTTTTGTAATTCTGCAATCATAAACCTTCCCAAGGGTCATGCGAGGTCACGTACAAAATTTGGGCACGATCAGTTCAGCCGTGTTGACGTTTATAGGATATAAGTATATTATATTGGAAAAAAGTAAAGATATAAAAAATATGTCTTAACAAAAATATTTCTCTTTCATGACCAACCGGGTTACCAATCCTGGGTTTCATGACCGATACTCTGTCTTAGGCTACTGGTTCTGAATCTGATGTACACAAAATTCTCCGGGTTTTCTTTAAAAAGATTTGAATAAAATAGTTTGTTTAATAAACTCTCAAACTCTCTCATTTTTTACTTTTATTGGATACAAACAGACAGACAGACACCCAAACAAAGTATATATAAGATGGAAAAAGTAAAGATATAAAAAATATTTTTAAACAAAAAAAAGTTCTCTTTCAAGTTGCTCTATACCATTTCATGACAATTATTTATCTTTGCTAAGCAATGAAACATTTAAACAATATTTACGTTCTAAAAACTTGTATGTTTCATATATTTCTCTGTAAACATTTATTCTTTTTATGTGTTTAATAGCAGGGTAGTAGGATTGGAACAGTATTTATATATCTTGTTTATAGACTTCGGAACAATTCAAGATATTCTCTGTAAAATATCTTGTATCTAAGAGGATATACAGAGGTTTACTCCGCCCATACCGGAGACTAGGGATACTATTCTTGAACATCAAACTTCAAACATTCTCCTCCTGAACAAACAATATTTTAAAGATGATTCCCTACTTCAAAGAATATTGAAAGAATATGGATATGAATATTAAACTTGAGTCCGAGGAACCCCAAATGCGTAAAAAGAAAAGTTTGTGCCTATGAGAAGGATCTAGACTGAAAGGAATTGAGTCTTTGCCACAAACTCTGATTTTCTAATCCCAATATCTTTGCAACCCATGGTCGAATTTTTTACAAGAAAATCTGCGAATTTAAAAAAAAATTCACAAAACTGCATTTCTCGGTTGAATTCAGCATGGAGAGGTTGGTCAACTATGGGATGAATCAAAAGAAGAAAAGAACATTGATTGACGACCAGAAATATGAATATGATTTTGAGAAAATTAAGAATGAAACAGAGTTCTGGCGATGCCAGAAATTCAAGAAGGGGTGCAAGGGGCGGGCAATGTCACGCCCCTCTACCAACCTTCTTCAGAATGAACAAAAGCACGATCATGCTAACAATCTTGTATGCAAGATGGCAAGGGCTACAGAAATGGCAGCCATCATCAAAGCTTCTGAGAATCCATCAATAGCCCCAAGACGTATTCTTGGAGATGTCAGCAACGCCATACTGGCATCTGAGACTCCAGTTGTAGTTCATGGCATGCGATCTAGCGATTCATTTGCCCAGGCAGTGAGGAGAGAGCGCCATAGAGTTAATCCAAGGCCTCCTGTGCCAAAAACATGGGAGAACACTCTGGATATTCCCGATTCTATGACTAAAACAAAGGTAATGTTTTTCATCAAAAATTTACTCCAATTATGAAAAATGAATAATTTTTGATTTTGTATTCTTATATGTTTGCAATCTGATGGTGTAAACTGACGATATTTCTAACTTAGACTATTTGATCTAAAAGACTTCATAGTTTGAAATATCAAAGGTCTTTAATATCAGGTTGCAAAGATATGGGTAAAACAAATTTGAATTTGTGGCAACAACTCATTTCCATTCTGAAACTCTAGGAGGGGGGATAGTTTCTACAGCTGGCGTCCTGGACCAGCGATACAGAAGATGGCACCATTCTAGTATTCATGTCAGGTGTCTGTTTTTATTCCTAATTTTTTTATTATCAATTTGTCATTTATTTATGTATATATATATATATAAATGTGAAGAACATAGCGCAGAAGTGTTGAAGAAGTGTGCCGGCTGGAGTGTGGATGGAACCTTCAAAACAGCTCCACATCCCTTTGTTCAGGCAAGATAATAACCAACTCTTTTGCTTACTTAATGAATTCTATGACCTAACCATACCATATTTTGAGTTAGACAAAATTTAACTTATAGACCAAAATAAATTAGACAAACTGAGCCAATCTAAACTAAACCTTTACTTTAGGTTTTTATCCTGCAGGCTAGACTGTCGAATGGTAGGTCCATTCCGGCTGCCTTTGGACTTCTGCCAGGAAAATCTGCTGATATCTACTCTATGTTTTGGAATGCAATCAAGGAGAAGGTTGGATCCAACGTGAATGTCAGGCACCTGTTGGTTGACTTTGAGACTGCAAACATTACTGCCTTCCAGGAGATGTACCCAGACATTGATGTCAATGGGTGTGAGTTCCATTTTCGCAAAGCTATATTTCCTCATATCCAGACAGAGAAAATTGTGGATTTGTTTAACCAGTCTCCTGAGTTTCAGCTCTTTGTTGGCATGCTCTACAGTCTGGCATATGTTCCTCCTAAGGATATTGTTAAGGTTATTCTTAGAATTAAAATTGACATTTTCAATTACGGCCAAACTTGATCCAACCATCTTTTTTATCCACAGGTCTATGAGAATGTTATCCTGGAGTATGTAGAGGAACATGAAGATTTGTGGCCTGACTGGTCAGAGGAGGTTAGGTTGTTTGTTGCCTACTTAGATAGGACCTGGATTGGCAAGCTGCCCATGACCAGAAACAGGGCCAGGAAAGATCCCCTATTCAAGTTTACGTTGTGGAACAAGGGGATGGAGGTTAGGGAGGATATTCCTACAACCAACAACTCAAACGAGGCCTACAACAACCTCTGGACTATTATCACCAACTTCATACGTGAAGAATCCCTGTCAAGGAAAACTCTTCTTGATTCAGCCAGTGTGATGCAAACAGCACTGAGAACGCTCGCAAGAGATAAACGTACAAAGATTAAAAACATGACTGAAATGTATAATAATAGCCCTGCACCAGACTATATGAAACAGCTTGCCACAATTATTGGCATGGATTAAAATCATGTACATTTGTAAAATAAAAAATTAGTCCTAATAAATAAGAATCATTATTTTTTGACTTTTTTGGGACATTTAAAAAAAAATTAATTTGGAAAAATCTACCTTTTGAACGTTCTACCTTTTGTAATTCTACCTTTTGAACGTTCTACCTTTTGAACGTTCTACCTTTTGTTTGTTCTACCTTTTGATCGTTCTACCTTTTGTCGTTCTACCTTATGATCGTTCTACCTTTTGTCATTCTACCTTTTGTAATAGCTGTAATCTCTGTGTGTCTGTATGTATGTTTGTCCGATCATAACTCATGAACCTCTGTACCGATATGTCTCAAAGTTTAATTGCAAAACTCGATAAAACCACGGAAATGTTCTTAGCTTCGTCTTGAGATTCTAAGTTTAGTGGGTCAACTTTTACAGGGGAAAAATCCTAATATTTGACCAAGTGCGGGTAAACGGCGAGATTAAGTATGAGTAACCTGGACAGTGCCGGGTTCCCAAGCTAGTAAAATATATATTTAAGTGTTTAGTTTAGTGTTTTTGCAAAGGTTTACATGTACTATTGTGACTCGAGCCTACCAATCTAGGAGTCGAGCGGAGGGAACTTGTAACTACGTCTGTAGTTCCTTTAATTCTTTTACAAATATCTATTTTTTTGTAGAAAATATGGAAAAATAAAGAATTGAATATTTACCTAGAACGCTGTTAGCAGCAACAGTTCTATGCTCCTGTATAGTCTGGTTCCAATCCTCCTTGTTTAGCTCCGGTATCAGAGCCAGTAGTAGAACCTTAACCCTGCTCACGTTCTCTCTCAGTACACGGAGAACAGATGGAGTATCAACCTTGGACAAATGATCAGGTTCAATTTCTTTTATCTATTTATCTACTGAGGAAGGGGGGGAGGCTAGGGGGGGAGACACGTTAAATTACAGTAAATTTCACGTGTTTTCAAGCATAACTGCTGTACTATATTTATTTATTGACAAGAACAAGAACATTTTGAATTTCTAAAATGTAACTAAGCTTTTCTCATTTACTCATCCTAATCTGAAAATCAAAATAGAGAAGCTGCGAGGTCATAAGTCCTACCGGTATTGTTGCATAAATTCATTATCAATATCAATCATTATCAATCATCATCACTCATCATCACTCATCATTAATCACCATCAATCGTCATCAATCGTCATCAATCATCATCAATCATTATCAATCATCATCAATCATGATCATGATCATGATCATTACTATTATCATCAATATCATTATCATTATCATTATCATTATCATTATCATTATCAATATCATTATCATTATCATTATCATTATCATTATCATTATCATTATCAATATCATTATCATTATCATTATCATTATCATTATCATTATCATTATCATTATCGTTATCATTATCATTATCATTATCATTATCATTATTATTATTATTATAATTATTATCCAGACTGCTATGAAGTACGGTAACGCAATGGTTTTTGTTTTTACCTCAAAAATATTTACTTAAACTTTATTGGAGGCTGGAGCCCCGAAAGTGTTCAGTTTACTATAAAGTATTTGTTTAAAAGAAGTAGTTGAAACATTCTCAAATATATTTATGTGAGTGTTAGCAACCTTTATTGAAAATATTTTGACCCTGTAGGATGCAGGATCCTTAATAAAATAAAACCACGTTTAAAAACTATCTTAAATATCGTCTTTTAATTCCCATGTTTTTTAACTCCCTGTCTCATGGTTAGATGGAACGGAGTGAAAGAAATTATAATTAATCTTGTAAATTGTTGAAATATCATTTTCCAATCTTAGCGATGACAATAAAAAATTAGCTGAATGTGGTTCTACAAAAAAAAAATTATGTTCCAATATTTCAATACAATGAAGTCGTCGTATATTTCAATACAATGAAGTCGTCGTATATTTCAATACAATGAAGTCATCTTATATTTTAAAAAATGAAGTCCTCGTATATTTCAATACAATGAAGTTGTCGTATATTTCAATACAATGAAGTCGTCGTATATTTTAATACAATAAAGTCGTCGTATATTTCAATACAATGAAGCCGTCGTATATTTCAGTACAATGAAGTCGTCGTATATTACAATACAATGAAGTCGTCGTATATTTCAATACAATGAAGTTGTCGTATATTTCAATACAATGAAGTCGTCATATATTTCAATACAATGAAGTCGTCGTATATTTTAATACAATGAAGTCGTCGTATATTTCAATACAATGAAGTCGTCGTATATTTCAATACAAT